TTCTTTTGGGATCTACCTTATGTGGGGTTTGATGAGCATCTTGGATAGATATCTTGTCATCTTTCATGATATCGGGGAAGTTTTCTGCCAATAAATCTTCAGCAGTTCTCTCTTTATTTTCTGTTATCCCCCTCCTGTTCTGGTACTCCAGTAACTCATAGGTTATTCCCGTTGATAGAGTCCCACATAAGTCGTAGGGTTTCTTCATTTTTTTAAATCCTTTTATCTGATTTTTCCTCAAGTAAGTTGGTGTCAAGTGCTTTATCTTCAATCTCACTAATTCTGACATCCATTGCCTCAGTTCTGCTCCTGTGACTTTCTATTGAGTTGTCTAATTCTGAAATTTTATTGTTAATCTTCTGGATTTCTTTTTTTTTTTTAATTGTTGTAATTAAATGAAGTTTATATTTCAAGTTAGTCTCCCATACAGAATTTTTTTTTTTTACGTACGTTGTTATGAGACCCCAACCGCTCACCCCATTCTGTGACAGCACACTCCTCCCCTCTGCCCCTGATTCCCCATGAACATTCAACCAGCTCCTAACTCTCTCTGCCTTCCCGTCTCACCTCTGGACAGAAGCCGCCCCTTTGGTCTCTTGTATCTACTTGACTAAGAGGCACATTCTTCACAAGTATCACTTTATGTCCCACAGTCCAGTCCAATCCCTGTCTGAAGAGTTGGCCTCGGAAGTTGTTTTAGTTCTGGGGTGATAGAGAGTCCAGTGGCCATGCTTGCTGGGGCGCCTACAGTCTCAGTCAGACCATTAAGTCTGGTCTTCTTAATAGAATTTGCGTTCTGCATCCCATCGTTCTACTGCTCCATCAGGGAGCCTCTGTTGTGTTCCCTGTCAGGACGTTCATTGGTGGTAGCTGGGAACCATCTAGTTCTTCTGGTCTCAGGCTGATGAAGTCTCTGGTTTATGTGGCCCATTCTGTCTCTTGGGCTAATACTTTCCTTGTGTCTTTGGTGTTCTTCGTTCTCCTTTACTCCAAGTGGTTGGGACCAACTGATGCATCTTAGATGGCCACTTGCAAGCCTTTAAGACCCCAGAAGCAACTCACCAAAGTAGGATGCAGAACATTTTCTTAATAAGCTTTGTTATGCCAATTGACATAGATGTCCCCTGAAAGCATGGTCCCCAGACCAATCTTCTGGATTTCTGATTGCTGTCTTTCTATGGATTCTTGCAGGCTGTTAGATTTGTCATTATGCTCCTTTCTAATCTTTTTAATTTCCTTTACTGCATGTTGTGCATTTTGATTAATTTCCTTCCTAATTTCTTGAAGAGTTCTGTATATTAATCTTTTGTATTCTGCCTCGGGTAACTCCAAGAAATTTTCCTCCTCTGGAAAATTTCTAGATTCTTTTTTGGAAGCTTGCTGAAGCCATCATGGATTGCCTTTTTATGTGATTTGATATTTACTGTTGTCTTTGAGCCATCAATAAATTATTATATTTATTTATTTTATGTTTGCTTACTATGTCCTAGCTTCTTGTTTTGTTTTGATATGCCCAAGTAGGCTGCTTGTATGAGCTAGTTTGATTATTGGCACCTTTGAAGCTCTACTGTCCTGTCACCAGGTGGTTAGATCTGTTACTAGGTATGTGAGCTCAGGAGTCCACCCACTTCTCCTGTATGGATTCAGCTCAGGTGCCCAGGTAGATAACCACCAAATGTGTGGTGTAGGCTCTCACTTACAGTCCTAGACAGGCATGGGTGATTGGTATAGGCACAGGCATCTGGCTGCAGCAGGGGGACACACTCTGAGCAAGGCAGGGGGCTGATGGCTGCTCTGAGTGTCCAGGAAGAAGGTGTGTCCCTCTTCCCTAGAGCACGTAGGTGGGTAGGTTTTGTGGCTGGACTGCAAGCAGCTAATGCTGTTGGCTGTAAGGACTGGAGAGCACCTCTTATTCATGGACCCCTAGGTGGCTAGGTGGCGTGGGTGGAGCCACCAGTCCTCAGGCCCCTAATGTGGGTAGGTGAAGACCCTGCTTAATGGACAAAGCAGTGTCAAATGTCAAGAACCTGCCACTTCACAGCTGAAACAGTTGAAGTTAGACTTCCAGTATATACCCTGTTGTACTGCGGTAATGAGGGCCTACGCTGTTGAAATGGGCCCACACAAGTCTCTGCAGGGGGAAAGACACTCAAAGTCCTTGGATCCCTTATGCCTGTGCCTAGGGAAAGGACCTGTGCCTTCCCTGGGTACCTGGCTTAGGGAAGCCAGCAGTTTGTTTTTTCCCTTGTTTGTTAATTTGTTCACTCTCCAAGGCAGGGAGAATGGCTCCAGGCGTGTGACAAATCCTACTTCTGGCTGAGGGAACTCGGCAGTTGCTGAAGCTGGTCTGGGACCCAGTGCAGAGCAGGGAGCGGGGAGGTAAATGGGAGAGAGGTTTTTCCCTAGGGGGATGTTTTTGATCTGTGCGGTAAGCTGTATGCAAGCACTTACCTTTCACTGATCCAGGGCTGCTTCTCACTGTTTCTAGATGGCTGTGTAGACTCTCTGGCACTGGGTCTCTTCTGGTATGGAAAACATGCCTCCAGAGGACCACTGCTTGCCTCCCTCACCACTCACCCCCAAGCTGATCAGGCCTGAAGGGCTCAGGCTCTTGCTGAGTCAGGACTGGCAACTCCTCGCTGCTTCCAAACTGTCTCTCCCTTCACCTGCCACTCAGTCCGGTTCCTCAACTCTGCCTTTGATGTTCAGGGCTCCCAGATTGCCATATATAATAGATTCACTTGTTTTTTCGGGTCTTTTTTGTAACAGGGCCCTCCAGAA